ACCTGAATTAAGAGAATAGATCAGCAAACTAATACCTTTATTCCCACTGAAGTAGAGCAAAGAATAGCCATACACGCACTCATGTTGGGGGGGGGGGGGTAAATGCCATACAAATACCAAAACCTACTGCATAATAGCATATGCCAAGAACATACCTTCGGTACAAGGACATCCATTGCTGCAACAGTCTTCTTGTCTTCATTGAGCTTCATATAGAATGCTTTAATTCCTTTGGGATAGTTGTAAACAATGACAGGCGCTTTAAATTTCTCTTCAGTCAAGTATCTAGTGACGGAGCAAAACAAGAATCAGAACCCAGGCACAGGCATACGAATCTGAAAAAAAGAAAAAAGGAGATAGATGTGTTACCTCTCATGTTCAGATGCCAAATCTATTCCCCATTCTACTTTATTCTCAAATTTCCTTGCTTTTGACACCTCCTCAAGAATTGCTATGGCTTCTGTATAAGTTATCCGGTAGAAGTTGCTTGAGGCAACCATTTTAAGTCTATCGATGCAAGTTTTGTCAATATGGGCGGCCATAAACTCCATGTCAGCGAGGGAATAATCAAGTAACCACTGGCACAAGAATTTCACATATGCTTCTGCACAGTTCATATCATCCTACATACACAACATTCAACCTCAGACATCTCTGGTGAAGCAACAAACATATCAACCACCCGTATTCCAGATAAAAAAAAATTAGCGAAAATAAAAGAGACATGACAAAGAAAAATGCAGCTTGAAAGCAGTCCCCAGTTGCAGGTATATGTCAGGATTTCGGCATTAAACAGCAACAGAAGCTGACTTTCAGGTTTTTACCCAATGCCACAAAATTGGTTTAGCAATTGTTTCACATTTAATGGGGGAAGGGCAACCAGAGTTCTCATCATTTGAGACACCATATAGCTGCAATTTTACTCTAAAGAAGTGTGCTTATTACCTGGAGATCAGCAAACGCAATTTCAGGCTCCACCATCCAAAACTCCGCCAAATGCCTTGATGTATGTGACTGTTCAGCTCGAAAAGTTGGTCCAAATGTATAAACACTACTGAGCGCACAAGCAAATGTCTCAACCTGAAGTTGCCCAGAAACAGTCAGAAATGCTTGACGAGCAAAGAAATCTTCAGAATAATCTATTTTTCCATCCTTTTTTGGTATGCCAGCACTAAGCTTACATCTGTTCCCCAACCTAAACCTCTCTTGCAGCTTCACAAGATTCTCTTTAGCCTTAGTAAGCACCGCAACAGCAGCACTAATTTCTTCCTTGCTAGCTTTAGCAGATTTGAGTTGAGCAACGGCTTCTCCCTTCTCCTTAACGAGGAGCTCAGCAGCTACTATGTCAGCTTCTGAAGGAGCAGGGTTCTCTTTAAGCTCCTTTTCCAATTTTTCAGCCTCATTAATTAAAGTTGTGACCTGAAACATCTCACCAGCACCCTCACAGTCACTAGTGGTTATGATAGGAGTGTGGACATAAAGAAATCCATGCTTGTGGAAAAATGTATGGGTGGCATAAGCCAGTTCATTACGGATTCGAGCAACTGCAGAAATCTGGAGAACAATTCACGAAATTGTAAATAACAAGAATACAAATGGGAAAATGCAAAAGAGATATTCAGAACCAACAAACCATTTTTATGCACTTAAAATAATTCGCCACAGTAGATTACAAAACCAAAGCAAGTGGAATGAGCAACAGCAGGACAAACTTCAAGAAACTGGACATCTCCCAAATCTAAATGCAACAAAAAATCTCGATTAATGACAAAAAAACACTTTGTTGCAACAAAACACGGTTCTCTCTCCCATATTTCTGTTCAATTATTAATTCAGCGACCAGCATCCAGTAATAATTACTAGATGTCAAACATTTCCTCATCTGCATTCCAGATTGTCACGCTAACTTATTCAAATCCCCGGATACTCAAACACGGATAAGTGGGAAGATAAGAAGATTAGTGATTACAGTGTTGGTTCGGGGGCGAAGATGCACAAAATCCCTTAGGAATTCCAGCGTAAGCCTGGTCTTCGGCAAAGGATACTTGGCCGCATCAACAGTCCCCACATCCAGAACCTTCAGAACCTTGAGCTCAATTTTCTGCTTAGTCCCCTCGGGAGGCTTCTTAAGCTCGCCTTCCACGTACACGGACGTGCCGGTGGGCACCAAATCGCCAAGCTTGTGCACGCCGGACTCCACTATGACCTGCAGATTCGCCGGACAAGAGCCGTCGTTGAGTTCCAGAAACGCGAAGGCACCTTTCCCCTGTTCTCGGCCAGTTTTCACCCATCCTCCGATTTTCACAACTTGACCTGCTAGTCCCGCCCCGCCATCGGGCCGGCTTAGAATAGAGTGGATCAGGACCCGGCGGGAAAACTGGGCCTCCTCGACGGTGCCGCTTAGGGAGAGCTGTTCTAATGGCGGCGTCGAATCGATCGACATTACGTGCTTTGATGAAGAAATGTGAATATTTTTGTTACGTTTTGGTGGTATGGGTAAGGAGACAGAGAAATGATGGAGCAGCGCTAGTTTTCTGTTGTGACGAAAAACCCTACTGAGGAGCCTTGGTGCGTTTTTGAAGATTTTATACTGCATTTGACTGGTCCTTTATTTGTGTGTTTACAAAATGGGAAAGAAGTTATTCCAGCGAATCCGGTTCTTGACGGTTTACTTTTTACTACACTAGCACCAAGCTTAAGTTCGAACTCCATCAATATCAATACTATTTCGAGTTCGACCGAATATATAAATTTGAACTCAAATTCAATTCGACATAATGAAAATCAAACTTGATCTTAACTCATTTGAGATCGAGTAAATTATCAGCCTTATTGAACTCAAGTTTTTTTTCTTGTTTTTAATATTTTACATTTTAGATTTATTAGGTTATCATTTTGCTATCTATCATGATTTTTTACTGAACATTATTTCATTTAAATTTATTAAACACAAACCCATAATAGTCGTTTCATAATTAAAATATATAATACATAAATAATAAATATTCGATTAAATTCATCAAATACTCGAATATTTACTTTTGATGCTTGAACTCGACACGTTACACTTAACGAATACCTCGATTTTGAGTTCAAACTCGATCAAACTGAATTTGAGCCAAACTTTTGACCAAACTGCTCGTAAGCTACCAACTAGCAGTTCGACTTGATAGCACCTCTACCACGCTTGCATCCACAAATCCTATTTGCTAGTAATTAATAACAGGGCTAATCACACTTCGAACTATGGCCAAAATCACATTTTATCACCGTCATCATCCTCAAATTTATACTCTTTACCTTAGTGCAATGACATTATTTATCTTTTATTTTATGACATTATTTTTTTTTTATATAAGCAGGAGGATTCGAACCCGAAATCTCTTACTTACACTCCCTCCCCCCGTACCACCCAACCCAACCCCATCCCCCTATTTTATGACATTAGTCAAGATTTAGGCCCTGTGCAATGGCATTATTGATCATTTATTTTATGACATTAGTCAAAATTTATGCCATATTTGATAATCCAATTCAGCATATTAATTTTAATGGCTTTAGATCTTAATATATTCATACCGTTTAATAATAAAAAGTTGAACATTTGAATTAATTAAGTAGCACTAAATTTTCTGGACAAAACTTACTTGCAAAATTAAGTGATTAGCTATTCACTTATTAGTAAATATGATATGCACTCAAATATATTAGATTTAATATATAACAATCCAATGACTTAATGAATTCAAATTTCAGACTTCAATTTTATCCAACACGCCCCGACTATTATTTCCCTTTTATTGCTACAAAATACACATATATCTTCTTCATGGTGTCTACTATGCAAACTATCAAATAGATAAAAGCTAAAAAAATATTTATATTTAGTTTATTATCCTTAAAATTTGGATTGTATTGAGAGATTCTGGTCAAAACCTTCCACTTACACTAAAAAAAAATTAGAAAATTTTTAAAAATTAAGGTAATTTAAACTTTTATTTCTAGATACTTTTTCTATTATAGTAATAGTTTACGTTAAAGGTTAAATTGAGAATAGGGGAGAAGGGTTGGATTGGGTGGGATAGGCGGAAAGAATGTAAGCAAGAGATCTTGAATTCGAGTCATCCCGTTTACAAAAAAATAAAAAAGGTTAAATTGACAATATTATTACTTTTTGTTTGTCAAATTAGTCAAATATTATTAATGCTTAACCAAAATCGTTAAAATGGGCTGATATGCCTTTTTCAAAATTTAGAGTAGGAAAATAGATATTAAATCAAACTTCACTTTTTTTGGACAAAAAAAGGCAATACTAATAAATTGTAAATAATTTCGGCAACAGAGGACAATGTTTGTCATAACCCTCACTTTCTTTCTCTTGGAATTAAGATTTTTAAAGTTGACTAGTTTTCGTGAGGGATGATGCATATATATTTTTTAAGGTTAAGGGCGGTAAAGTAGAACAAGTCTCAAAGCTTGGAAAGGCAAAGTGTTATTAACCCTTAACAATAGTTTGCATTTCTCCAATTAGAGGACACTTGTAAGGAAAAAGAAAAATGGAATTTGAAAATCGAACCAAAAAAAATTACGATTCTCCAAATAACGAGTTGCATGAGTGTTTTCCACATCTCACATAATCTTTTATTTTTTGGAAACAATTATTGTAGCACAAGAGAATGAGTTATTACTCACCTATAGAAGATGGGTAACGCAATTATCAGGGGGCGATTCACCTCTTGGGATTACTAGATGTTAATGTCGTAGATAGAAACAGTCTATGATGTAAAACTAGATGTTAATTCTAGTTGCTGTTGAAGGAACGCTAACAATTCATTTTGTGTTTCTGAAGAATGAAGATAGAAATTGAGGTCCTTGAGTTGTTGAGCCGAGCAATTAGGCAACGCAATGCAGCACAAAGCCTCAAACATTTGTAGCCCCCCTTGTCTGTGGCAATCAGGCCCAAGTTATCAGACGGCCCAATCTCAGATGAAGCTCCCCGGCTTGCCCAGCGCCCGCTATTATTATTAATATGTTTAAGACTAAAACCCTAATTTTCGATCTTCCGTTGTCCACCCTTTTCGCCCTTCGCAGTATCAGCAGCTCCAAGCAGATCTCTCAGCAGCTCAAACTCCATAGCTAATCATGGGTGACCTCGGCCTTCCGATGCTATTTTTCTACCTAATATACTTCTTCCATGTTGTTGCTTGTTTGTTTGATTTTTTTAATTTAATTTTATTATTATCGATTGTCATGCACAGGTAAGGTTCACGGTTCATTAGCTCGTGCCGGTAAGGTGAGAGGGCAAACTCCCAAGGTTGCAAAGCAGGATAAGAAGAAGAAGCCCCGCGGCCGTGCCTACAAGCGTATGCAATACAACCGCCGCTTCGTCACTGCCGGTAACTTTAAACTTCCTTTTTCCCTTTATTATACTTACAATTCGAGATTTAATCTGTAATACTCGGAAACTGGAATTTTCGTGGAAAAACTTTTTTTTGGGGGGGTGGGTGGGTTGGGGGTTGAAGGTGTTATTTGGTCCGTGTTCATTAGTTATGGCAATTGCTGGGAAAGGTATTAGGATGAATCAATTGGTGAATCTGTTAGTTTTGCTGTCGGAATTTTGCTGACCGGACCGAGATATGCTTATAAATTTCACTTGTAACACTTGGTTACAATATGATTATGGTGGTGTAATGAGCAAACATGCACTTTCGTTTCCACTCGAATACTGCACTGTTGTATGCTATTTAAAAGCTTGTCGTTCTGACCTTTGTGGTTTATGTTATTAGGGAAATATGGTGCAGAATGGCTACTAATAATCATCACAAATATAATGCATATTAGGCATTGTGTAGATGTTTTAGTTTCAGCTGGGGAAACTGTTTCATTTGATTTCCATGTGATTACATTAGCCTTTTGTGCCGTACAGAAACTTTCTTGTTTTGACATCTGTGCGTTTAGTTTATCTGGGAAAAAATGGTGCAGAGAGGCTTCAAGTTATCATTCTTACTTAACTTATTATCCTTTGGTGACTAATTTTGCACTATTGTATGGGAAATGGATGTTAAATCTTACGTGAATCTGTTGATTGCCTGCAGTTGTTGGCTTTGGAAAGAAGAGGGGGCCAAACTCATCGGAGAAGTAAACATGAGGGCCAAGGCATGGTAGTTTTAGTAGGTGTAATTCTGTTTTGAGCTTGATGCATTGTGTTGTTGATCATGTTAGTACGCTTACTGTCATTTTTGTTAATTTATGGTTATCCTCTTCATTGTAGACGGAGGTTTGTTTGAATCCTTGAAATGAGATTGAAGGAAGGCTAATTTGGCTGTTTTCTCCCTGATTGTTTATTGTTGTGCTTGCCTGTAGCATAAAGGAATAGGTTTCACAAATTGTTATTAGTTCTTGAGCACTATTTTCGTTTGTTGCACTTGGATTGTCTGCAACGGCCTTGCAACTTTAAGCATGCCTAGTTATTATAAACTCCAGCATCCCTATTAACCCCTAAAATCAACAACCCCTCCCCCCCAAAAAAATAATAAATAATAAAGAAAAGACCAAATTGTAAGGATGAAGGGTTATACAAATTGTAAATAATCAGTATAACTGTTCCTGCATGCGATTTTCTTTTAAAGGAGGTAGAAATGGTTGGTTCGCGTGTCGAATTGTTAATGGTGTGATCGTTCTGTAATGAAGCACTAAAGCTTCCTTTATGCGACAATTCACAGGGTTCTTATTCGTTAATTTTCGTAGTTAGCTGGAAGGTTGCCCCAATGAATCAGTTTTAACTTCCACTAAAGTAATGTGGTGGTATTACGCGATTATCAACTCAATGGTATTGTGACCTGTTTTTCGTCTTGGGCAGCTCACTTGTGGGATGACTTAGGGCCAGGGGCAGAAGCTCCAACGCGTACCATGCCACCTTGACTATAGAAAGTTTGTTTGGTTTCTCTATCTTAAAATATATGGCCTACTTTGGGTTTCCCGAACTGTACTTGCAAGGGGTGCCAAAATGCGGCTTCATATTTCATACAACGCTGTTGTAAAGAACAAAGAAAGGTGTTCCGACATTAAAAAAAAAAAAGAATAATAATGAAAGTGGACAGAATGAAAAAGGAAAACAGGAGAAGAAGAAAAGACATCTCTCTATGATGTTTTCTTTTTGAATTTGTTTGCAAAGAATATTATGGGAATTGAAGGAAGGTTATTATTTTTCTTTTTTTTTTTTGGTTAATCAAACACATACAGGAAAGTATTTTTCCCTTCTATTACATTCTTTCACTTCACTTTCCCATGTAATTTTTCCTCTAATCAAAAATGAAAATTATGGGGCAAAGAAGTTCGATTTGTGTTTCATGACTATTGCTCCTCCCAGTTATTCAGTAAAACCCACAGACACGATCACGCGGCCAAAACTTTCCCCATTCTTGAACAATCTTCCCATTCGTTCGTCCACACGTCCATCATTCAATATTTGTGTGGCTCTTAAGGACTCTTTAAAACCGGACAGACGAAAAGGCAACACTGATATGTACTAACAGTTGATTATAAGTTTTTTCGACCGTTGTTTTTTTTTTTTTAAAATAAAACAACTTCTGGTACCAAATATGCAGAAGGCAGCGACGCTGGTCCTATTTCCCTGCAAAGTCGAAAATTTCTGTTGGGGAAGAAACAATTCATGGAAATTTGTCTTGATTTGATTAATGCGCTGCATTCTCGCTGAACTTTACTTGAGAGTTGAAATTAATTGGTTTCAATGTAATTAAACATTTCAAAGGTGTGTTAACTATGGTGTTAACTAGTCCGGTAACTCCTTGGCATCAAGGTTCCAGACAACATGCTTGATATGAGCTTCATGTTAACCTTCTTTCTTTTGGCTTCTTTGCTATAGGCACTACGTGTTTTGGATGCGTTTTGACAACAGGAATGCTACAAGAAGTTGGATTGTAAAATGTCTGTTAATTCGCAGAGTTTCGCGAAACATGCCCTCGATACAATTCAGTCATCAAATAGTTTTAGAAATTTGTAGCAAAACCTTCCAAGTTGCTTCAAGCAGCTTAGAGCTCATCACGCAAACTCTCTTTCTGCACAGATAGCGTAGCAGGACCACCAAGGAGGTGAGTCACAGCCAATGATGCATGTAAAGCAGCACCATATTGAAGTACATTTTCGTTTACTTTGAAATCAGGGGAGTGCCCTGATACAGATTGTCCCTCAGAATCATTGCGCATTCCTACAAAGTAAAAGTACCCCGGGATTGCCTCAGCCAAAAAGCCAAAATCTTCTGCTCCCATGGTTGGTTGCAATTCTATGATGCTCTTAGAACCCAGCATATTCTCAGCTACAGTTTGGAAGTGATCATGCAACCGGTTGCTATTTATGGTTACCGGGTAAAAGGGCCTGTAATCTGCCTCGAAGTCAACAGTCGCATTGCATCTGTGTACGGCAGCTTGTCGAATAATTACCTGTTAGTTGCATATGCAAGAAAAAGCAATATTCATAATTGGATGTCTTGTTATGGAATAATCTGACATTATGTGAATGCTATCATTACAAGCTCAAACAGGGACAAAATATTCTCAAGGAATATGACTTGGGAGCATATTAAAGAAATCAGGCACCAAACGAAGAACCTGCCTCTTCAATTCTTTGTTTAAGTTGCCTGAAACTGTCTTTTGAGAATGCCCTGAAGGTACCACCTATTGCAACTGAATCAGGAATCACATTGAATGCGGCACCACCTTGGAATTTCCCAACAGTTACTACCTGCAAGGCCATGCCTTTTGATTTAGTGGAGGACAATGTCAGATGTAGAAGTAACATCAGTTTCAGAGTATATTGTATAAAGATGAAGATGGTGGAGAGTAAAGACGAGGATGTTAGGTTCACTAGGAGTATGTGAATAAATTTGGAGCCCTAACAGTTACTTAATAATCATGAGCAGCTTATGGAAGAATATAATGGCACTAGTAATTATCTTACAAGACAGAGATAGAGAACCAAAACTAGGTCAGAGTTTGTAAAAACTACAGTGAGCAGCCCACCAACAGCAAATAAAAGCTGTGCCCTATAATTAAAAAATTAATGGCACAAAAATCATCCCAAAAGCAAGTCAAGCCTGCTCTTAAAAGTGAAAAAGATGACACAAGTCATCATTATAAAATGTAAAACTATTGTAGTCTTCGGTCAAATTAGACTTGAGATTTAGCAAAGATAAGTAAAAGCATTTGTTGCTATGAACATAACCACAACTCCTACTGAGGAATACTACCTGTGAATCTAATGGATCGGCTTCACGCGAAATAAGATGTTGTAAGCTAATAATTATATTGGAAGCCGCCAAGATTGGGTCAATTGAGGTCTGGGGAATAGCTGCATGTCCGCCTTTTCCTTTAATTACAGCATCAAAAAATCCATTTGCAGCCAATATAGGCCCAGGTCTGGCAGCAACTGTGCCAATTGGGTATTTGGAAGAGACATGCAGTCCAAAGATGGCATCAACATTCTCTAATATCCCAGTATCTAGCATTTATTTTGCTCCCCCACCTCCTTCTTCAGCCGGTTGAAAAACAAGAATGACAGTTCCCTGAATACGAGAAGAAAAATAGCGATATTCTATCATCAATATTGTATGACTCCAGCAGTAACTGTTAGCTAAGAGCAACACAACTCTTCAATAAAAAATTTTACGCAAAATTTGCAAACGAGAATCTTTGTAAAGTGCTACTTCAATGACTACAAAAGGTATATAGACGAACAAACATAGCTGACAAAGCCTCCGAAGAAAATCCAATTTCTTCTAAGCTCACCAAATTTTGCATCTTTGAGAATCGCATCAGCGATGTTTGTTCAGAGTTTTGATACTCTTGCGTCCAGAGGAACAACATCTTCGATATTACTCCATGGTTATTGGCCATATTGATCTAACTTTTCTGATATCTTTTACCTTTGCATTCAATTTTCATGGTTTTTGGACTGAAGTAATGTAGATGTCATCACTCATTGGTTTTGATTATCTCATTGCACCTGTTGAGGTAACAAGAGATTTCTCCTCAATCCTACTCTTGAAATTCAAATTCTCTCTTCTGCATCAAATGGAGTTACTTTAGTTCCTATAATTACAATCCTGAACTTCGTACGTCTTGTAATGCAAATGTACGTGAAGCAAATATGTGGAATTGCAAGTGCTTGAGGGCTTTCCATATTTTAGTTATTAAATGCTTCTGTTTTTCCTCAAGCAGAATCAAACCATTACAGGCAATAAAAGCATGTCCCGTCACACCAACATTTTGCACATAATGAATTTTCACCCCTAATCTCAGTTTGAAGATGACCATCCTTGGCAGGAAGTTTTATGTTTCAAGGGGAGATTGAGTAGGAATGAAGAACATTCCGTTCTCCTACCTGGGCTGAACAGAAAAGTAGAATGGGCAGGGAATGTAAAGTAGAACACTTACTACAGGTAACCAATGGAAAGTCACAAGGAACAAAACAATACAACAGAAACGCATATTCACAAGAAGAACTCAGATCAATATAACGCTTTGCATAATATTTGGAAGTAAAATAAGGAGCTTCCCACTTGCTTAGTCGACCTATAGAGTAAAGCTACAATGGAGAACTTGTCAAGAGAACTAACTTAAAACTGTAAATAAAACTCTTCATCAATATCATTTTTCAAACTGTTTAGCATGATTATTACAGCAGAATTTTTAGTTGGATTTGACTATAAGAATCCCATTTCATAAAGAACTTGAAGCAGAACCAGCGAAGTTCAAATCTTTAGTTCAAGAAGAAAATGATAGCAAGAAACCTGTAAATGATTACGATACTCTTGAAGTATCCTTGCAGCCCCAAGAAGCATTGCGACATGAGCATCATGTCCACAAGCATGCATCTTCCCTGGAATTTTGCTTTTATGTTCCCATTCGACATTTTCCTGTAACATTCAGAACAATCACAAACAAATGACTAATCCAAAAACTAGAATAACTCCAAAACTGATAAACAATTACCAAGACAAATTTCATCAAAACATAAAAATAGAACAAGAAAAAAGAGCACTGGGATATAAGTTGGGAGTATGTAAGTAGAAGTGACATCATTATTCAATAATATAGAACATATATACTAATCATTTCTAGGTTTGTGAAGAAACCTGCATAGCTAGAGCATCCATATCAGCTCTAATTGCAACAAAAGGTGGCTTGCCAGTCCCAATATAGCCAACAACACCAGTAATAGCCACCGGATGCTTATAGGGGATGCCCATTTTATCAAGCTCAGTTCTGACAAGTTTACTGGTCTCAAATTCCTCAAAACCAAGTTCTGGGATTTCATGCAGGGTCCTCCTAATATTCACCATCCAGTCAAAAACCTCTGGCCTTTTAGCCATATTTAGGAAGTTCATAGGAATTTCAGCCAACCTTTCTTTTGTTAAGAAAGGAGAATCTGAAGAAGTGGACTTCACAGAAGATAATAAAAGGCAGATAATCAGAGAGAAAAGGATTTCGAAGGGATCCATGATGAGTCCTCTCTACTATGCAGAGGTTATCACGGAACTTGGGAGCGGGAGAGAGCGTATGTAGCGTTTTCAGTTTCAGCGAAAAGGGTTTCAGGCTTTTAGCTCTTTGGTGGGGAAATCTGAAATAGAGGAATCCCTCAAGTCAAAATTACAGAGTAGAGCTCGGCCTGATTTTTTTTTTTTTTGGCGTCCAAATGGCCTGATTTGGTAGTTGGTACGGTTAGTAGTGGGTATAAGAATCTAGAGGGAAGAAAATTTAAAGAGTAAGGGAATAGTATGTACGGGAATGTGACTAAATTAAAATGGTGTTTTGATGCCTCCTTTAAATTTATTTTTACTGTAAATAAGATTCGAATTCTTGACTTGCGTCTAAAAAGGAACTTAGTTGGTTTGGTAATTGGCACTTTGGTTTGTTGGAAATGACCACTAAAACAAAAAGTGTATCATGAAATGCAGTCTAGGCCACTTATATAGAGTAGGTTTATACACACTGTATAATTTTTTTTACACTAATATATGTAGATCATATCATATAATATAAATTTAAATTTAAATTTAAAATCATGCATGTGTGACATATAACTATAACTATTAGTGTAAAAAATCATTTTTTTACGCTGTCAATACATAAAAAATTAATTGATATATAGATTTGGATACGTTAAGATTCTAAAATATCTTTCACCATTTTCTAGAGATTGTATTTACATTTATATACGTTTGAAATTTTGAATTTATACTGAGGATTATCAAAGATTTTTTTTTTGTTTAGTCAAGTGAAATTTCAAAAATTACAAGAGCCATTTTTGTTTCGTGACCTTTTAATTCAAATATATTTATTCCGCCTTTGGATGCGTGGTCATATTAATTCAACCTTTGCTTGAGAATGTTACGCTCACGTTGCATTAATCTATGTTAGAAAAACTACGCATCCTTATTTAAGAGCATTGGAAGTTTTTCACTACTAAATTAACTCATACTGGCAAGAGTTGTGAAGCACATTCTCACAACTTCTTTTATTTATTCATTTATTTTTTGGTTCGACAATGTCTCCAAAATAGTAGAATAGAAAAAAAAAATTGAGAGAGATTGAGAGTTGAACCAATGAGCTCATGTTTATCTAACTAATGTCTCTACTTAGCTAAAAGTGGGTGTCGACAAGAAAATTTACAATTCCTAAACACAATTTAACATAACATCTAATTCTTTTCAAAATGATGTCTTGGTTTATCTAACTTCCATTCTCGTTATTATAAAAAAAAAACACTTCTATTCTTGTTTGCTAAAGCAGAAGCTTAGGATTAAGAAGTTGAGGTATTATGTCCTCCTCTGTGGTTAGGTAAGGAATTAGTTGTCGAATAAAGGGTATTCCACTCGTTGCCAAAAAGTGCTTTGTCGCGAATGCCAAAACGCAACTTTCTTGTGAAACTAAGTGCATTGTCGTAACCTGAGGATGGCAGCGCGATGCAGCAAGAGAACCTTGACCCTAATCTGCCACCGCCTCAAGAGGTGGATTCTTTCACACGCAAAGATCCCAAAAAATTCAAGAGACTCACTACTGGGGAGTTTGTCCCCAACCTGAGCCCTCGAAATAATAGAGAAGATTTTAATTTTGCTCGAAGCCACTGTACTAACATTACTACTGGAGCATGAGGGAAACAATCATTCAGCGATACGCTGCTGTTTGGGGGAAAGAAACCGCCAATCTACGATGGGGACGATAAGGAACTTGAGTTTTTGGTAGATATGGAGACAAAGGCTCGTGAAAGGATGGATAATGAGAACAATACTTCTTGGTTCCCTAACCCTATTATGGATGCAGAGGAAATTCGACAAATATGGAAACCATGGAGTATGGGGCTTCTTCTGAAAGTCCTGGGGAAAAATATAGGGTTTCGGACCCTAGAGCAAAAAGGAGCTGTGGCAACTCAGCCAGGACTTTGAAATCACCGATTTGGAACGGGGCTTCTATATAGTCCGGTTTCGGGCGAAGGAAGACTATCACAAAACATTGGATGGAGGACCATGGATGGTACAGGGGCATTAGATAACCGTCACCAAGTGGAGGTCGGATTTTCAGGCAGTAAAGGCTGATATTACATTCACAATAGTTTGGGTCAGATTACCAGGACTCCCAGTTGAATAGTATACAGGAAAATTTTTAATGGCAGTGGGAAATTGTGCCGGTAAGGCAGTTAAAGTGGATCAGCGCATGTGGACTGCCAAGAGTGGGAAATTTGCTAGAATTTGCATTGAAGTTGACCTGAAAAAACCTTCAACTCCATTCATATGGGTAAATCAAGATCTTAAAAGGATTGAATACGAGGGGCTATACCAAATCTGCTTTAATTATGGGCAATATGGCCACATAGCAGAACACTATAAGTCTAAGAACCAGGGACTGGAACCAGGGGAGGAAGCCTTTATGAGGGAGCCAGAGGATACTATTAATGAGAAAGAGAAAAGGGGGGGGATAGAAAGTCAACCTTTTGGACCATGGATTGTGGCCAATTCAAGAAGACAACGGTATGATAAGCAAGGTAAACAGGAAAATATACCTCAAGCCTATAACTAAAAGGTGGTGCTAAAGAAAGGGTCTGAGAGAGTGAATATGCCAGAACCATCAGGACTCAAAGGCCTTCAGCCAGAGCAGGCCTGGGTAAAAGTATCCACGAGGCAGGGGAAACATTTGCGAGAGAGAGAGAGGAGAAGGATAAACAACAAGATGGGCTTACGGTGGACAAAGGGTCAAGATTTGTGGTGCTTAAGGAGGAGAGTATGGAGGAGACTTGAGGAGAAGCTAGAGACTCCAGAAAAATGTTACAGAAAAAGATTCGCAACATAGCAGGTCCACCACAGAATCTGGTATTCAGGGTGGGACAGAAAGGAAAGCAACCAGACATACCTGCAGAATCAACAAAGGGGAGAAAACGAAAAAAGAGGAAGAAGTAGGGGTCTCAAGGGATTAGACTTCACAAAAAGGCTCTGAGTCCAGTCAAAGTTGGTGGATTACTGGGCACATCGAGGGGAGCTTTCAAACCAAGACAGCTGCAGGAGGGAAGGTCACAGAATATACAGGTGACCTCGTAGGTGGGCTAGGCCGTCCATCCACAATTATGTGTGCATAACCAAATCGTCGATAAGGTACCACAAAATGACTACAGGGGAGATGGTCAGTGGGAAAAGTGAAGTATTGAGGAACTTGAACCGGGAGGGAATCGAGAACTACAGATGTTAGAAGGGGAGTTTGAAGCGGGAAATGGAGACACTGGCGCTGGAAAAGCAATCACAGCGCTAGAAATTTATCCACAAAGGTTGAGTGAAACCCCGCAGGAGAGGAGGATAGACAAGGAGGCCGTCGTAGCGGTAGTTAGGGAGCAGTAAGTATACACCTCGTCTTACCATATTCCTTAAATGAAAATTCTAAGTTGGAATTGTAGAGGTGCAGCAAATAATGAGTTTAGGAAGAACTAAAGGACACTTATGCAGGATCATGATCCGGATGCTCTCGTGTTAGTAGAAACAAGAACTCCAAGCTTTCGCGCTGATAGAATAAATAGGAGGTCACGCCTATCGAGCCGGGCATGTGTGGAGGCTCTGGGTTTCTCAGGGGGAATTTGACTCCTCTGGGATCCTTATGTAGTAGACGTAGAGATTATCTTTAAAAATAGGCAAATCCTAAATGCGATTTTTAAACACAATGATAAAAAGTGGCTACTATCAGCGGTGTATGCATCCCCAGAGCAAGCCTTGCATAGAAAACTATGGGAGTATATCATCCAGCTGGGTAGTCAAATCCGATTTCCTTGGTTGATCACTGGAGACTTGAATGAGATTTTATCTAGTGAAGAAAAATTGGGTGGCAGGCCTTTTTTGTTGACCGGCCAATTATCCTTAGTTGATTGTGTGCAGAATTATGGGCTGATAGATTTGGGGTTCAACGGGCCGACGTTAACTTGGAATAATAGAAGAAAAGGCACAACAAATGTGAGAAAAATGCTGGATAGAAATATGTGTAACTCGGAATGGAGAATAGAGTTCCCAGAGGCAAATGTCAAGCACTTGGCTCGTACCCATTTGGATCATCACCCAATGTTGCTGGATATGCAGGGGGTCTGCCCGAACAGTGGGCGTCACAAACCCTTTCGATTCGAATTAGCATGGCTCACACACCCAAAGTTGTAAGAGATTGTTGCTCAGAGCTGGAATGTTGATCAAAGGAACGTTTGGCACAAGAATCAGAAATTGATGGTGGACTTGCGAGAGTGAAATAAGACCACGTTTTGCAATATTTTCCATAGGAAAAGGAGGTGTATGGCTCGTCTTAAGGGAGTGCAAAAAAAGATTTGCACAGCTTCCCGATAGAAAATTGAAAAAACTAGAAAGAAAACTAATGAAGGAGTTTAACACTATTTTGGACCAGAAAGAGACCCTTTGGTACCAAAAGTCTAGAGTGAATTGGCTACAACATGGGAACAAAAATATCAAGTATTTTCATACCACAACAATAATAAGAAGGAGTCGAAATAGGATATCTAGTCTACACGACAGTTCTGGACAATGGCATAATGATAAGGCAAGTCTAGTTACCCTGGTAAGGGAATATTTCTAGAAGTTGTATGCAGAAGAACCAATATCAGCTCAGGACAACTCGTGTTACCCCAATGGATTTTCATGTATAGACGGGAGGAAGTTACAAGCACTGGGTAGGATTGTAACTCCAAGGGAGGTCAAGGATGTGATGTTCAGCATTAAAGCCTGTAAAGCTCCAAGACCTGATAGGATATATGCAGGTTTTTATCATAACTTTTGGCATCTGGTGGGGGCTAGTATAGTGGACTTTGCCACACAAACCTTTCGAAGTAAGACAATACCGAAAGAGATAAATGGCACTCTGATTTCCCTAATTCCAAAGGTGGCAAACCCAACGAGCATCACTCAGTTTAGACCGATATCGCTCTGTAATGTTTCTTACAAAGTGGTGACAAAGATCTTAGTTGCAAGGATTCGTCCTCTAATGGCAGAGTTGATGGCTCCGAACCAAAGTAGCTTTATCCCAGGGAGACATATTAGTGACAATGTAATTATTGCACAAGAGATTATCCACAATATGAGACAAAAACAAGGGAAAAAAGGTTACGTGACGGTTAAAATTGATTTAGAGAAAGCTTATGATCGTCTGAGTTGGCATTTTTTGAAGGAAACCTTGGAGATAGTGAACTTCCCTACGAGCCTTGTTTCTCTAATCATGAGCTGTGTGCAGGCATCAAGCATGGAAGTTTTATGGAATGGAGAACGCACTGCACCTTTAATACCAGCAAGAGGGCTCCGTCAAGGGGATCCCCTCTCACCATATTTGTTTGTCCTCTGCATGGAAAGGTTGGGGCACCTGATCAGTAGTGAGGTTACGAGAGGGTTTGGAAACCTATCAAGACATCCAGAAAAGGTCCAGCAATATCCCATCTTTTTTTCGCAGACAATCTTATACTTTTCACTGAAACAAGCCTGCAACAAGCTAAAGTGTTACAAGGGGTGTTGGAAAGATTTTGCGACTCGTCAGGACAAAAGGTAAGCATTGCAAAATCACGACTTTTTTGCTCAAAGAACGTACAGAGGAAATTGGCAGAACAAATCAGCGATAGAACAGGAGTGGGCTTAACAGATAATCTAGGGAAATACCTTGGAATGCCGTTACTACACTCTAAGGTAAACCGAAACACATATGGTGAAATCTTGGAAAAGATTCGTACGAGGTTGCAGGGTTGGAAGGGCAGGTGCCTCTCATATGCAGGCAAGACTCTCTTGGTTAAGTCGGTTATATTTTCCATACCGATATACGCTATGCAAACTTCTTTGCTACCGACTACAATTACTGTAGATATTGAGAAGAGAACTAGGAATTTCATTTGGGTAGAAAGCGAGAAAAGGAGAATGCATCTGATTAATTGGAATACTATTACACAACCCAAGAATAGAGGGGGCCTGAGAGTTCGAGAATTGAAGAGAGTTAATAGAGCCATGCTTGCAAAAACTTGTTGGAGGTTTTTAAAACAACAAGATGCTATTTGGGCCAAGGTACTGAGGGAGAAATATGAAGTCTGCAGCGGAGAAGAGCTCCCGCTCAAAGGTAGAAGTATGCAATCATATACTTGGCAGAGTCTATTGGAAGGGGCTAAATTATTACACAAAGGACTGAAATAAAGGCTAGGGAATGGTAACAGAATAAATTTTTTGGCTGGATTATTGAATAACTCAGAAGCCATTGATCAAGAACATTTCGACTGAACTCTCGCAGGATGAGGTCCATAAGGTAGTGAGTGATTACTGAACTGGAACAGGATGAGACTAGAGCTCCATTAGGAATTATCTGCAGCAGGACCAATTGGAAGCCATACAAGCAGTTCAAGTCTATGGAGGAGTTGGGAATGAGGACAGATTATCATGTGGTCTGACAGCGAATGGAGACTTTACAATGGCATCTGCTTATAAGGTAGATGGAGGTTATGACGCTAGCGAGCAAATAGATACTAATTAGGATAAGTCGTGGAAATTAAAGGGGTCTAGTAGATGACAATTTTTACTTTGGGTTGTGAGACATAAGAAACTCCTTACCAATTCAGATAAACAAGCAAGGCACTTACATGCTACTGAGCTCTGTGACCTATGCAAATCGAGACCATGCACTAAGGGGCTATCGGTGGATCAGTGAAGTTTGGAGCAAGTTGGTCCATCCTCTGCAGCGGCGAACATTTAACACTAAATCTCTAATTCAATGGGTTGATTGGAATATTAGGCAAAAGGACATTGGGAGGATGAAGGAAGTGTACTGGCCTATGTTATTCCAGCAAGTGGTTTACTGGGCATGGTCTACACGGAATGAAGTTACACATCAAAGTGTGCTGACAAAGGTTAGAGCTCGGCCTGAGACTCTTTTACAGCAATCACTGATAGTACAAGAGTTACATTCTGACCGCAAATTGGTGTGTGGACGACAAATGAAATTCATCAATTGAAGGAAACCACCAGTGGGATGGGTTAAACTCAATGTGGATGGCGCAGCCACGAGAAATCCAGGTGAATCAAGTGCCGAAGATCTTACAAGGAATGATCAAAGATGTTGGCTTCAGGGATTTGGTGTAAATTTGGGGTGTTCAAGTAATGTAGCAGCAAAGCTCTGGGCGATTCTGTTGGGACTGAGGCTAGCTTAAGAGCAAGGGTATAGGAGGGTGGTTACTGAGTCAGACGCGCAGGTCGCATTGACATTGATTAACAATGCTTCTGAAGAGAGTCCATATTAGAACGTGATTACGAGAATCCGAAAGTTGTTAGGCTATGAATGGGAATGCTGTTTGTAACATTCGTGACGTGAAGAAAACTACTGAGCAAATTACTTAGCAAAGTTAGAAAAGAGTTTAGTTCCGAGGATGACTGTTTTTCGGGATCCTCCACAAGCATTAAGACCATTTATTAGCCGTGATGTTTGTGAAGTGGCAATACCTCGGCTAGTTAATAGTTAATGGGCTCATGCCTTCCTTTGTACCGAAAAAAAAAAGGCAGAAGCTTAACCTATATTCAAGTTGTGACGTTAAAACCCAATCCATTTAAATTTAAAGAGTTCGGCCCAATAGATTGGATTCGTTTTTGCGAGAAGGGGAACCGCACGTCCACCCCACATGCCCCACACCACTTCACTAATTGTACACCAATTGCATTCGTGCCTATTTGTTGCTGCCGTGTGGACTTGGACTTGGACGCCATTTACCCGCGGATTTGTACTTGGCTTTAATCTCCCCCGAAATTACGAAATTACACTTCAGAAATATTTCTCATCTGACATCTCCAATAGCCCAATCCAAAGTATCCAACACGATTAAGAAAACCGGTCAAAAAGACCGACCTACCCCCCACATCGCCCTCCATTTCCCCGTTTTTTCCCCGATATTTAGAGCCCTAATTTAACCATTCTCTAGTCTATCTCTCGAATTTGACGAAAAAATTCGTCGATTTGATCGTTCGCTTGTTCGTTGACTCTGAAACCCTAACCCCCCGATCACAAGGTACTGCAGTTGTATTCTTTTTCTGTATAATTGATTAGATCCTTTCGGTTTTTATATATCGAAGTGTTATTCTGTTGAATCTGTCGGGATTACTTTTGTTGCTTCAATTTTCAGGAGATCGGAGAAGAATAGTTATTCGTGTAGATATTCTGAATCATACGTCCAAGATGTTTACTAGAATATTCGGCAAGCCAAAGCAGGAGACTAATGCTGTCACAACTTTGGATAAATTAAATGAGGTAAATTTTTTTTCTTTTGCGCTGAATTCCTAATTCGCTAAAAGGTAGTATGGATTGTTTGGACGGTTGTGACCTAGATGTACATGATAGGTTGGTTTCCTTTTTGACGTAATTGGCTTTGAGAATCTTATGGTTACATGGAAAAATTTTGGAATATGAACTCCATGTTACGATGAGCGATGAAAATAAAATTTTTTAGAGACGTAAATTTGGGGATTTCAGTATGTTATAACTTGTCTATTGATTACACATGATCAAGTGATGTGCGGTGTTGTATTTTTTTAATTTGGTTTGTGCTTTCCTGGTTAACCATACGCGTTCTCATCTTTAGTGTTATAAATCAAGTTTAAAAAGAATCTTTTGGAGTTCTCTCTCTCTCTCTATCTCTTGTTTTTTTATGTTTACTGGTGTATTTTTTATAATTTTGTGTTTTCCCTCAAGAAAGATCAGTATTAGATTGCTTGCTAAGTGGTGACAATCGTGAAATTGAGGTCTTGCCATTGGAGAATGGAGAGCTTGGAAGGAAGATGTGTATGTTGATTTTCATCAAGTAACAGCTGTACGTCCAGTACATAACAATGAAAAGAATTTACTCCTGTGATTCTTTGTTGTTCTGAGATGTATTTCAGATGGGATTTTTATGATTGTCAGCTCTTAAATTTGAGGCAAAAGGCGACAGAAAATGGCTTCTGCCAAACTTCTAGTATGGAAATCACTCAATGGAAAATTTTTGCCTTTTCCTCTTTTTTTTTTTTTTTTGGAATTTTGCTGATGGCTGGTGATAGTAAGATAATCAGAAAGTTGGGAGAAAAAGCTTTTCATTTTGTGGATTGATCAAGATTCTACACAAAGAAAGGACTGAAAACAGAAATTTGATTCAGCAAACAATTGCAAAGTCAATCCTCTCAATAGATGCTTGTGCCTCCTATATATTGAAACAAATGGACGGCATGGAAGTTGTAATCAGGATTGCATATGACATGAATTAACTGAATGGGCTTTTTTTTTTTTTGAGACAGTGTCTGTGACATGTACTAAATTATTCTCCCTGCTTGTCTTTGATGATATGCACATGTTGATAGTTGTTTGCCTGCAAGATAGTTTAGCTGAGTGGAATTTTCAACTGTCTTCCTTGTGTTAGACTTTAGAGATGCTAGAAAAGAAGGAGAAAGTTCTTCAGAAGAAGGCATCTGCAGAGGTTGAAAAGGCTAAGGAATTCACCAGAGCAAAAAACAAGAGGGGTATACTTCATATCCTGTCTAGATGCACAACTTTTAGTTTCTTTTATCCTGTACAACAACCTTGCAATAAATTCATGGCTAGTTCAATATTAAAAGTGCTGGCCTAAAATTGCAGCGGCCATCCAATGTTTAAAGAGGAAAAGGCTCTATGAACAGCAAATTGAGCAGCTTGGTAATTTCCAGTTGCGCATCCATGATCAGGTCTCTCTCTCTCTCTCTCTCTCTCTCTCTGTGTTGGGGTAGGGGTGTGTGTGTTTACCCCCGCTGTAGTCAGTTCCTTGCTATACTGCATGTTACCAATCGTGGAAGCTGTTAATGTTCAGATGATCATGCTAGAAGGTGCAAAAGCTACAACAGAAACTGTTGATGCCTTGAGAACTGGTGCATCAGCAATGAAAGCAATGCAGAAAGCAACGTAAGTAGAAATTAAGCTATTTATCATTTGGAAAGTTTTGAGGGATGACTTGTTTTGGTCTTTCTTTGAGGGTTGACTTACTTTGGTCCTTCTATTTTGAGAGAATACTTAATAGTAGTACATATGCTGTCTAATTTTGTTCCTTGATCTGAACTCATTCCAAACTCACTTGCTTATTGGGAAATGCAATTTCTTATTGCAGAAATATTGATGATGTGGATAAGACAATGGATGAAATAAATGAGCAGACAGAGAATATGAAACAGATACAGGAAGCTTTGGCTACTCCTATTGGTGCAGCAGCTGATTTTGATGAGGTTCCTGGCCTTTTTTTTAACTCCCAACTGTGATATGTATGTCAATTTATTTCTAATCTTGCTAAAGCTAACTGGTGGTATTTTGCCGATTGCAGGATGAATTGGAGGCAGAACTTGAAGAATTGGAAGGCGCTGAGTTGGAAGAGCAGCTTCTTCAGCCTGCAATTAATACCCCCGCGGCACCTGTGCATGCTCCTACACCAGCTGGCAGGCAACCAGCTCGCCCTGCTCCTCAGAAGCAATCAGCTGAGGAAGATGAACTTGCTGCATTGCAAGCAGAAATGGCTCTTTGAGCAGCTACATTTCTTCAGTTTAACGGGTAATTTGGCCTGTATTTGTGTATGTGGCATTTATGGCACTAGTGGATCTGTATCTATCTTCCCTGTTTTCAGCCATTGATGAAAGCACTGAGCTTCTTGGAATCATTTGGAACTGCGTGGCCCAATTATCTTTAGTGTATAATTTATAGCGGCCAGTGTTACTTCAGCAAATATTAAATAACAGAATTTCTTTGTAATTGATCCATTGGAGTGTATTTTTGTGTTGTCGTGATACATTTAGTTTTCTGCAGGTATTGGTCTGGTGAGATTGTTTGGAGGTTTAGTGTATCGTTATGGAGAGTAGTGGTTTTCATAGGCAGATTTCTGCCTGTTTGCTGGTTATGAAAATCCGTGTACATAAGTGGTGCGGCGGAAATTGGAGCTGTCTGACACTGTAATAAGTTGTTTAATGCTTATAAATGGACTTTTACCTTCACTGCTCGAGATGTATGTAATCTTTTTAGTGCTTCGCTCGTTTACTTGCCTCCTGACTGTCCACAGAGAAAAAAACTCTACTTCTATACGTTGCTGGCGTCAATTCTTGGGGATCTTGATTATACTTCATCAATCTTCAGTTGTGGGCTTTGGTCAAAAGATTCACCGAGTTGTATTTAGCATTCATTTATGCTTCCATTGCTTTTGCAATTATGCTTGATCGGTCTTTCTGGAAGACTATGCTACAATTTTGTCATGAGATTATAGAAAAGATTTTATTTGCTTAGACTTCTTATGGGAGCAAATTTCCTATAAAATACTTTCTCCATTTTACTTTGATAATTTTGTTTTTCTTGTTCATCCGCTGCAAATTATAGTCTACTATCTAATGGAATAATATAAATCAACTTTTACTTTCTATAAAATGCTCTTATTTAATGTACTTTGTTTTAAGTAACTATAAGCTCCTTCATTTAATAATTGTTTTGATTCATGTTTTAAATTGTGCAACTTTCTTAATAGTTTTGTTGTTGTAATTAATGCAAAGGTATATGAGTAATTATACCCCTAATATTAATGTAACTGCATTTTAGGAAAAGAGGAGGCTAAATTTACTCTTCTAACCGCTTTTTTTTAAATTATGTGAAAAAAATTAAAATTATTAAAATGGGACGAGGGGGTAGTTGAATACGAGAGAGGTGAACACACACACCGAGTAGCTAATACTGTGAACGCTTCAAATAAAAGCATCCAAATATTAATTTACTTGATAAGCGTGCTTTCTCTTCTTGCACCCTTAGGCTAGAAGAGGCGTTCCTCGTTGCCGGCCGCCTATCTCGGTTAGACGTGGTAAATGCGTGTGGTTTCTTGTAAATCTCCAGTGAATCTTAGCAGGGGCCGGGGGAGTATACCCCCGCCCCATCCCCCGCCCCGCCCCCCGCAAAACAAAAAAAATATATAAAAATATATATAATTATATATAACATGTAAGTTAATTAGTTATAAACTTATGATAATGATATTATTAGTTAGATATACTATATAATGTATATTAGTTTATGTAATATAATTGATATAATCAATTATATGAATAATTCTACATGTCTACTAATAGAATTTATTAATTAGTTATACTAAATTTACTAATATATTTATACTAAATTTCTAATTACACTTAATAGAATAACACTTTTTTCTAAAAAAAAAAGCACAAACACAATAATGAATTAGTGATTGCATTTGTACTAAAAGTGAAAACTTGACTATTTTAGTTATATTTATTTCATCATATTGGATTGTATTCAAATAACTTTTGTTTGATTGTTTTTATGAGTTTCAATTGTAAAATTACAATGAATAATAATTTGGTGATGTGTTGATATTTTAGTACTTGATTATTTATTAAAATTTAATTATAATAAAATTATATAATAAAATTTTATTAACCCCGCGGGGGAAGCGGGGCGGGGGCGGGGCGGGGCGGGGCGGGGGGAGCAGGAGGCGGGGGACGGGGGGGAACTAATAGGCAACGGGGCGGGGGACGGGGGAGGGGTCCCCCGCCCCAACCCCGCCCCGTTGCCATCCCTAAATCTTAGGTTATTTTGTCATAACATTAGCTAAACTACATTCTATGGAACAATTCCTCTTTTTTTTTTTTTTTTTTTTTTGGGTCTAACCACCCGGTATCCCTTTCGGACTAATTCGGATTCGGTCCGGGGAGCGCCCACAGAGTTTGACTCTTACTCGAGGGTGAAAGCCTGGCCCTGATGTACATACTGTTGAACGTTTCCAGCTGTTGTATTTGACATTCTGTCAATGATATTATAGACTAGATATTACTAAAAATGCACAATGAACTTTGAACAAATCTTTCCCTAGACGGCAATAATAACTCTGCTTGGATAATCACACTTTTAATCTTTTTTAAACAGTCGCTCTAATAATTCTTTTTTCAAAATTATTTTTCCAACTACATGTTTACTTTACATGCATGGCGTTCAAAAGTTAAAAGCCTAGATTATCGTTTCCAAAAACCATTTCAAAGAATGCAAATCCAAATGGAGCCATTTCTATTTTCAAGATATTATGCTTTTCTATCATGTTACTTTCCTATGCTTTTCTATCCCGTTTCCAACAACATTTTTATTAAAAATAAAATAAAAAAATTTACATGCCCAATAACAAGATACCTGTTATAGAAAAAATTTAAAGAATATGATACTTAACAAGATTCCTGTTATAGAAAAGAACATGGCTGGATCCTCAGACCTCAGTTTAGCGTCGTGTAAATTTTGAAAAACTATGGCCAACCAATCTGGCCCTCGTCATTCCAGATTTTGTAGCCTTCAAGAAATTGTTACCAGTAGTGCTGAACAAATTTGTTACGAATAGACTAAAAAGAAATTACTTGGCACTGGAAGCTTTCCAAATTTGCAATTACTGGGAACAATAATATCAAACAGCTTCACAGATTGCAAGGAGACGAATGCATACAAGCAAAACTTGCCCAGTAGAGTTGTCATAGAGCCAGCAGAATTAAGATCCCATTCAACCTACACCCCGAAGCTGTAATGTGATTGGATTTGGGAGTGGGGTTGGTCGTGCAGACCTTTCGCGATTTAAGAGAAGTGCACAAAATTGGGAAGTCCAAGCTTCAGAAGTAGAAAGAATTGGATTTGAGCTTTGAATTAATTGTAGAAAAGACAGGATCTCATTATCTAAGGTGAGTTGAGCTGAAATACAGAGCAGAATTGTCTATGTACTCTCTAGTGAAAAATGTAGGTAACTGCCAGAGCAACAAGCATCAGGACATATGCTATTCCTTGATCAACCGAAACCCCTGCAGCGGAAAGAAATTTTTACACCAGATTAGAATCAGCACTTGTCACATAAATTATGCAAGAGAATGCTAAACATGAGACCTTGAGATTTGCGGGCCTAAAACCAGCGGAAGAGAAAAATGTTGCCAAAAACTTTGGAGAGAGGGGATGGAGCATACCATCGCTTGATGGGGAAGGTGCAGGGGCAGGAACTTGAGCAGCATTGGCGGAAGGAAGCAACAGAGAGAAGACGAGGGCAATGGTGATCATAACAAAGCATGTCCTGAGCATTTCCATTTGCCACGATTCAGAGATACGAATTTCCTACCGCCCCCCTAAGCCTATGCCCGAAGTGGCTTGTCTTCCTACTCCTTCCTTCTTCACTCTGACTATTTTAGTCTATGAATTCATTTGAGGTTTCCTACTCCTTGCTTGATTGATTGAGATTAGGGTTTTTAAGGGTGTGGGACTCTGAAATTGAAATTGAAATTGAAAAGTGACGTCTACCAATTTTGTCAATATTAATATGTTTTGTTGTTGTTTTTGCATAATTTTCTAAACCCATCTGGGCCGTTGGCCTGCTTTTCCTGCCACATGTACAAAATGATAGTATTCCTTGTGCGTCTACATCGTCCAGCAAGCGCTGATTGCCTCCCACTGCCCACATGCACCAAAGTAGATTATTCTCTCCTTTCATTTTCTCCATCTTCAAATTTCAATCTTCCATGTGGATTTTGCGGTTCCTTCTGGCCTGTGAAGCCTTGGCCTTTTCTTTATCTGTGGTAATGGAATGCCACAGCAGATTTGGAAAACGTATTGTGCATTGTATGAATTTGTACGTTAGAAAAACATATATATATATATATATATATTTATGGGATTTTGGCATTGGCAGTCTTGAATTTCTATAGTCGGATGGCTGAGAGCTTCACCTTCCAAATCCCACTTTTGTGGTAGGGATACCCAAAGTGTGGAGAATAATCAAACCCTTTATCTAACTAAGATATGTGTTTGAATTGTTTTTGTCTTATCTTAAGAACTAATTTAGATTAAAAATATGGACTTAAAAAGATGCAGGTCCCAAACTCAAAGGGTTTAAAACTCCAACCTCGCGATATAAAGAGTGAGTTGATCTCCATTTGGCCCCATCCCATATAAAGAGTGAAACAAAGGTAATGAATTAATCATGGGAAGTGTTTCTCATACCAAATATATGGTTATGTACGGAAACAGAATAGCTAAATAAAATAATATAACCTTGAAAATATAATTGTGCATCCATAGGTACCGAAAACACATTATTATTGTTTAAAACAAATACTACAGCAATTATATATCTATTACCATAGGAAGTGTTTATATGTATTACCTAAGATCAATAGTCAGTTTGGAAACTGATGTTCAATGAGATTATTACACAGCTATAAATCATGCTTCTAAAATATGGTCGGAAACAACGCAAACTAGTGGTTGCGTTTTCATTGGATGAAGAGGCAAAATTTTGTCAAAATCTTTGAAAACTGAAAGCGCTTTAACACAAGGGAAGTCAAACAGGTTGTTTTGTCTTCTTTTTAATCACTCGTTTTACTGGACTAAAGTCTCTTGTATGGTGAAGAATGAAAAATGACAGCAAATCCCCATGCACATCACATCTAAAAGCGGTTGGAGTCCTGCTAGGATTACGAAGCCTGTAACCTCGGACTTACAGCAAACCCACCATAATAGGTACGCGCAGACACCTAAGTCTATACGGGTCATCTTCTTCCCAGATGCTTCCAGCTTGTCTTCATTTGTCCCTGGAGATGAACCCAACTCCCCTCCTCCTCCCCCCCCCCCTCCTTTACCTCCATTGTTTTTGAGCCCTTCCCAATGCCTCCCACTCTGCTCAGCTCTTACCTTCATGGATTACCCCTCATTCTCTTGGATTACCACTCTTCTCCACAGATGCAATCGCCTGTCTCCCTTCATTCCCTGACATCGTGCTTTCCCTAAATCTCCTCCTTGCTGGCCTGATAGTAGTACGTTGTGTGCCTATAGGGCTGTGAATTATTCGTACTGCTTTTGATTGAAGCAACGGATTCAACAAAAACTCTGATCCATCCAAAGTGTCTTAAGGATTAATTTTGATCAGTTTCTGTCAAAAACATTTAGGTTAAAGATTAAAGTAGAAATGACAATCACTTAGCAATTGGGATCTGGGTCTTTCGGCGGACTACAATGGAGGCAACGGCTCCATGGATTTAGGTCTGACCCCAAAAGGGGTGCTGCAACTTGCATGTAATAAATCTTCAGTAGGTCTGGCCCCAAACATTTAAGTACCATCAATTGACTGTCCATTTACTTCCACTGAACAATGTGTGTAAGTAATGCAATAGTTGAGGCACTAATATCCACCATCATGTGATGCTGCAGGACCTATAATGTATTTTAAAAGAGAGAGAGAGAGAGAGAGAGAGAGAGAGAGAGTTAATGGCGGAGGAGACTCCATGTTTTCCTTTCAAAGAGAAACGAAGAGAGCAAGAGCAAACACGAGAGAGAGAGAGAGAGAGAGAGAGCGCGCGCTGGGGGCTGGGGTGCGTGGTGGGGAAGAATGTCCATGGTTTGAGCACCTGTCCAAAGTCTAAATGCACGTTTCTAAGGACTTCAAATATTTATAAGAATCTTCAGTTGGTTTTCAGGTGATCCACTTTCAGAATTTGAGATTGAATATACACTTTCTACCATTACAAAGTGGTGAGAAAAAATGACACACAATGCCAAGGATGTTGGTCTAAAGATCAAGTTGGGAAGATCCCAGGACCAGTTAATGATATTTAATGGAACCACTTAACCTTCAATGGTATAATTACTGTATATTGGTGCGGGCACAGCTTTCCGGTGACACTGCGTTATATACTCAGTTGTAGGTTTCGACTGTCTGCTCTCCCGGGCCAAGGGGAACAACTGCAGGCAACTCCAAATAGTCAAAGTCATCCGTAACTCCAACCTGTTTTAGACATGAAGAGAAGCTGCTAAATATAAGAAATCTTGTTGCGTGGAAATGAAGCACTTTTTAAGTTAATCCTCTCTCTCTCCAAATTTTGGAGGACATCTATTAATCTAATTGTGTGATTCATTCTCTAGTAAGAGCAAACTGTTTGCAATGAACACAACTACCTCATTGAAAAGGTGATCAAGTTGTTCTTTGGCCTGGGGAAAGTTATTTGAACACCATTGCCGCAGAGTGAAGATGTTATCTGCGAGTTGTTGAATTGATAATTGGAGAGGGAAAGAAATCTGAAAATCTCGCTGTTTCGTTCATCATATATGAAATAAAGTAAATTAAAATAAAGTGACCTGTCCATCTGTTAGCTGCTGCATGAGCTACTTCAATTGCATTCTCTGCCAACAGGAGGTCATAGACATCAGAGGACATTAAAATCACTAATTTTTAAAAGAATTTAACCCAAAAAAAATACTGTAGTTAAAGCATGGAAAGAAAGTGTAGGAGCCCTCAACTCATTGCCTCAAAAGTAGCTGGATCATTGTCTGCATACTGTCCCATTTCATCCTGAAAAATGGAGCAAAGGCGTAATAGAACCTAATAAGCAAATGTATACCAGTAGCTTTAAGAGAAATGCCCGAGAGAGGAGAGATCTGTCAACCTTTAGCTCATTATGTTTCTCTTCAATGGCTTTCAGCTCATCCAATGCCTTCTCTCTGTCAACCTAGTACACATGCACATGTTAGATACATGGATTTACTGCAAGGCATATAAAAACTTGCCAATTGGGTTAGAATGTGATTACAGATTCCTCTCTTCCCTTCTTCAAAGCATGACATTGGTCTTCAAGTTCAGCAAGCCGCTTCTTACAATTTTGAAGATCAGCTTCCAGTTTCCGATGCACATTCCTCAGCTGTAATGTTTTGGCGTTAATTCCAGGATAGTTCAAATCAACAACAGGTTTTCAAAAGCATTATATGACAATAGTACCTGGTTTCCAGCACAGCTTGGTAGGCTCCAAAAGTATACCTGGAATACATGGTAACTCATGGAATAAAGGTTCGGGAACATTGTATAACCAAAATAAACTGTGTAATGTTCAGCTACAGAATGTCAAATATGAATTACGTTTCTAACTCCGTATGGACAAGTTTACTCACAGAAGTCCCTATCTTGTCTTTTGAAACAAGGTCATCATCCACTAAACTCTGGACAACATCTTTCACCGTCTGGCTGATAATGCCTTTCTTGGGACCCAATTTCTCCAGTTCCTTGAGCTGAAACTCATGAGAAAAATTCAGAATCCAAGAGGTAGAAAAAGAAAAAGAACAATGTCAATTCATAAAGGAGCAGAAAAAGGTGGTTTCAGCCTTTCAGGTGCAAAGACATTAAAATTATTTTCTAGCAGATTAAAAGAATAGAAGAGTAGCAAAAGCACATGCATCTATTAAAGAACAAGGTACATTGCATTCCCAGTTAAGCAGCAAATTATCAATTGTATAAAAAAGTGCAGAGGAAGAAAAACCTAAACTATGTCCTTGGTTAGAGCAAAATACAGCGGGACTTAGTACGAGAATAACTGAACATGCTGACAACAAATCATATGCCAACTTTCAAAAATGTTTGCAGCCATGGGGGGACATCAGCTATTTGGAATATACATGGAGTATCCATGAGTTTAAATATTTGAAGGCACACCATCAAAATATGAAAAGTATTCAGTTAAAATGTTCTCAGGCATTCAATAAGGTTTGTAGGGGTTTCATATATGCTAGAATTAAGCAAATCAGCGCCGCCTTCAGTACCATTGAATCTCAGTCTATGACATACTTTTAAAAGGATTGTTCTGCCCATGGATTTTAGGTTAGGATTTACTAATTTTCCAAAAGTGATTAACCAACATGAAGGCCGAAATACCCAGATTATCATACACATAACACCATAAGCATCTGTGATAAACAGGAAAAAGACGAGCGGGCCTTGGGAAATAGTAAGCAGATGCTCAAAAAATATCTCACATCAATTCTGAGTTGGTCATCTGAATGTGCCATGGAATTGAAGACATTTTACAAATGCAAACGAATACAAAATGTACTCCAATCAAAATGTGTTAAGTGCATCAGCTAAAATGTCATTTGACATCGCATTACTGCATTCATAATTACAGCCAGTACAGGACAGAACATCACAATTCATTCAAGTCTAATCAACAGTTGCCAAATTAGCAATTGCAACAACAAATAAAATCACTAAGAAACAAATGCAGTAAATGGGATTTCCATCGAGCGACACTTTGATGCATCCAGGCCAGAAGGACGTGCACTGAGTTCTAAATTTCAAAACAAAGCAGGATTGTGTACTTACAAGGAAGAAGTCCTGTGACTCATAAAATATTTGTAGCATTTTCTCGCGCTTCTCATCTAACGAAAGGCCTCTTTTCTTGGACTGCAGCACCATCAAACACATTACAAACCATAAGCATGTATGATTAATGATAAAAA